TTTGCACTGTAGAAAGAGACACTTTCCTGTGTGAGGGCCTCACGCACCCGATGGATCGATGCACGCTTCTTTCCGGCACCGTGTGGCAGGGAAGAGCCACTCAAATGCATTAAAACCCCCCTGATCGAGCCATCGGTTCTGCCTGCAAGGGGCTTTGAACACAGCAAGGCGGCCGGGGGCTTCTCCCCAGGCCCTGGGCCCGCCACGTCGCCTCTCCACCCCATCGATCCCACGGGCGCTGATGGTTAAAACAAGGAGGTGCTAATGAATTCAGCCGCAGCCCCAAACTGCTAATTGGCATCTGACAATTACTGCAGTCCCCGAGCGCGGAGCCCTCACGGTGGTTGTATTCGAAGGCCGGCAAACTTGTGCAGAGACTCTCCAAACTTTAGCAGGACCGAGATGGCTGCTGTCAGCGGGCGAGCGGGGAAAGTCGGGCCAGGGCTCCCGGCATGTTGGCCTCAGGGGCTGCGGGCTCCTCAGTGCCCGGCTCTGCTCCTGTCTATGCATCAGACCCTGGGACTCTATTCTGGCTGCTTCCAGGTCCAGGGATACCCTGAGGGATTGCAGGTTGGTCTTCCAATCTGCAACCCCCTCCACCCCAGCCCTATGGATGCCCCTCACTCCCGACAGGCAGCCCGCCTGCACCCCACTCCAGTCTGTCTGCCCCCCTGGCTGAATCCCTTGGCCCAGAGGCGTTGGATGCTGTGACCCTGCTGAATCAATGCAGTCACTGCAGCAGCAAGCAGGGGGGGGCGGGCAATTCAGAGCTCCAGGTGGGATGGGGGGGGAGGGGGGAGTGGGGGTTGAGCCAGCTGCCAAGCAGCAGAGCATCCCCCCTTCAACCCCCTGGGAAATCAGCTGGAGCCAAGAAACGGCACGCACCAGTCGCCATGGACATGTAGCGCCGGGGTCCAGGCCACAACAGGGACTGATGCCACGGGCCATGGCACCCACTCCCCTCCTAGCTCAGCCTGGCCTCTGCCCCTCTACACCTCCACGGGCCTGGGCTGCTCTGGACCGCGGGGAGGCCCCACAGGCACCCTGGTGTGCACACGCACACGTGCATGCACGCACGTGAGGGTGCCCCTCACTCCTGACCTGCAGCCCCCAGCTCAGCCAGCACCCCTTACTCTTGACATGTGCCCCCTACTTAAACAAGCCTACACATGCACATGCTTATACACTCTCACACATGACTCTTTGCATCCGCCCTGCACACACACAGGGCCCTCCCTTGTCCCTCTGCATGCACACATGTAGACACACACACACACAAACAGGCACACGCTTGTCATGTATGCACCCAGGCAGCGCTCCATGTGCACCCCCCCTGCAAAGGAACACACGTGTGCCCCCCAGACGCATGCTCTCTGCTTTTGCCTCCTGTGGTGGGGGTCCTGGCCAGGATAAGGTCCCTGCAAAGGCATGTACATGCACACACCCAGCCCCATCTTGTGATATATGCATGCACATGGGCCTCTGCGCACACCCACCCCATCCCATGGTGCACACACACACACACAAACGTGCCTGTCTGCACACATCCAGCCCCGTCCCATGGAAACACACACACACACGCACCCAGCCCCACCCCGACAGTCCAGCCCGCACTAGACACTTCCCAGCTGTGCCCCAGCTCAGGAGCAGCACCCCCAAGCTCGTGGCCTCTTCCGCCCCAGCCTCTGCTGCGCCCCAGGCTTGGGCCTTGCAGCCGGAAGGAGACAGCCCATGTTCACCCTCTAACCCTCCCCAGCCTGGGCTTGGCCCTAGGGCGCGCTGCCCTCCACCTTCAACTCCCGACCCCCATGCCTCTAGGAGCCAGGCTGCGTGGGGGATAACAACCCGCTACTGTCAGCTTGGTGCAACCATGGGGCTCCAGCAGCTTTACCTACCCCCTTTCCTGCATGGGTGGAGGGCACATGGCCCCATCTCCCTTCCCTGCAGGCCCCGGGAGCCCTGCCATGCTGTGTGTCCAGGCCGGCTGGAGCAGGGAGCCAGGGGTCATGGTTATGAGCCCCAGGAGGGCAGGGGCTGCGCTGGGCTCTTGTGCCACGGTGCTCCACAAGGCCAAGCTCCAGGGTCAGCTGAGAGCAGGGGATGGGGGAGAGCAGCCAGGCCTGCCCTGCCTTGCCAAGGCTCCCAGCGGGCACCCCCAGGCAGGAGGCAGCTGGATGCAGCGGGCAGCGAGGTCTGTCCCTGTACCTGCGGCCAGCTCTGGGCCTGTGCGGGTGTGCACATGCCCAGGGGCGCGCGCGTGTGTGTGTGTGTGTGTGTGTGCGCGTGCACAGATGGGCTGGTGTGTGTGTGTAGAGAGATCAGTGTGTGTGTGCACGTGCAGAGGAAACAAGGTGTGTGAAGAGGGGTTGTGGGGTATGTGTGCGCGTGTATGTGCACTTGCAGAGGGGCCAGTGTGTGTGTATGTGCAGAGTGGTTGGGGTGTGCATGCATGTATATGCAGAGTGATACGTGTGTGTGTATGTGCATGGAAGAAACTGTGTATGCATGTGCAGAGGCACCCGCATGCGCATGGAGAGGGGCCAGTGTGTGCGTGTGCATGCACATGTGAGCACGTGGAGGAGCCGGTGTGCACCAGAGGCTGGGCCGAGGGGCATCGGTCAGAGCTGAGCCTCAGCTGCTCTCCCCCGGCCTGCATTTCCCCAGATCCGTGGGGGGAACAGGCGTGAGCGGGCTGGCCCCCATCTTCACGGCCCCTGAGGAGCAGGAGGGCATCATCGGTAAGGAGCACGGGCAAAGGGCATTACGGGGAAGAAGCAAGAGCAGGGGGCATCGTGGGTAAAGAGCGAGAGCAGGGGCATCATGGGTAAGGAGCAAGGACGGGGCATTGTGGATAAGAGGCATGAGCAAGGAGCTTGTGGGTAAGAAGAGAGAGCAAGGCATTATGGGTAAGGAGCAAGAGCAGCAGGCATTGTGGGTAAGGGACATAAGCAGGGACACTGTGGGCAGCAGAGCAGGGGGAATTGTGGGTAAGGAGCAAAAGCAGTGGGCACTGTGAGTAGGAGTGAGAGCAGGGGGCTTGTGGGTGGGAGGCGAGAGCAAGGCATTGTGGGTAAGGAGCGAAAGCAGGGGCCAAGCCCGGTAGACACAGGTGGCGCAGGGCACGTCAGAGAAAAGCAGCATCTTTATTGCGCGAGCGCGCGGGAGCGCGGCGCTGCCGCAGGGGGTATCACAGGTCCTTCGCGCCCCTAAGCCCCCATCGCGGGCTCCCAGACCCGCTCCTGGAGGAGGAAGGACCTAGCCCAGGAAAGAAGCAGAGGAGCAGCCTGCCCAGACAGCGCCTCCAACCAGCCAAGCAGCGGGCGGACGGACGGACGCCCGGGCAGACACAAGCGAGATCCTCGGCTGCTTCCTGCCCCTTCCTCCGTGGGCCGCGGCTCCGCCGCTTCCCGGATGCGTCCGCTCTTTGGTACCAGCTGTAGACGGAGCTCCCCCACCCCCTTCCCAGGCTCAGTCCGGTCCCCGGGTGAGTAGCGCGGTGCCCTCAAAGTCCACGGCTTTGGCCCATGCCCCCCGCCAGGCAATGCATGGCCGAGTCCAGCTGCCCCCAGACCCATCCTGGGGGGTTGCGGGGGGCTCCACCTGCTTCACGGGGCAAGGCCACAGGGGAGCAGGGTCCTCGTCCATCTTTGGTCGGCATCGGGGAGTATTTTAGCCTCTTCTCTGAACGTTCAGGGACATGCAGAGGGGATCGGGCCGGACAGCTCAGGGCATCGGAGCCGGCCCCGCCGGGGACAGCACCGGTGACGCAGACAGGAGCCAGCTCCCCACAGCCCCCGGCCCCTGCCCACCCAGGGGCTGGCACCGAGACCCGCTGCAGGATGAGGTAGACGTGAGGTCTGTGCTGCTCGGTCCCTTCTTTGGTACCTTGGGGATCTGCCCCCGCACAGCTGGGCCGAACCAGGATGGCTGGGAGCCGGCGCCGGGTTTAGCGGGTAGAGGTAGAGCCAGGTGCCCCCCTGGCGCCCGCGGTGAGGTATTTGGCAATCTTGGCATCGGGAAGGGGAGTGTGGTGAGGTGGGGTATGCCCTGGGGTACAGCAGGGTGGAGGTCCTCCACTGCCCTTAGGACCTCCCCCATGCATTCAACCCACTAGGCCCCGCCCCTCTCATCCCCCAGGTTCCACCCCTTGTATTCAACCCACTAGGCCCCGCCCCTTATATCCCCCAGGCTCCAACCCCTGCACCAGTTCACTAGGCCCCGCCCCTCACATCCTCCAGGCCCCACCCCCTTGCATTCAATCCAGAAGGCCCTGCCCCTTAAACCCCAGGCTCCACCCCTTGCATTCAATTCAGTAGGCCCCACCCCTCACCTCCCCCGCAGGCTCCATCCCCCACATGCATTCAACCCACTAGGCCCCACCCCTCCCATAGGCTCTGCCCTCCACATACAGCCCTCTGGACCCAGGCCAGTGTAGGCTCCACCCTTCACCAGACCCCGCCCCTTCCCAGTCTCCAGCACCCACAGAGGGATCCCCCGCCCAATGCGGGGACCAGTGGAGGGAGAACAGCCAGGCTCAGCCCAGCCCACATCCCTCTCTTGCACGCACGACTTCGTGCCCTGCCTGCCGCCCTTCCTCTTCCTCTTGCCCCGGCTCTGCCCTGGCTACCATCCACGTTGGCTTCCCAGGGTGATTGGGGGTTGGGGGTCATGGGGGCACCACGTGAGTGGGGAGATTGTGTGTGTGCACGCTGTAGCAAGAGCGAGTGCACATGTGTGATGGAGGGCAACGTGTGAGTTCACGCATGTAACGGATTGTGTGCATGCATGGAAAGAACAGTAAGTGCGTGTGTGTGGGGGGGGTGTTGTACAAGTGCTTGGATGTACTGGGGGGATATGACAGGAGCAAGTGCAACATGTATTGAGGGGTTATTGTGTGAGTGCACGCCTGTCACATGGAAGGCATCACGCATGCTTGGATGGTGCCATGCACATGTGCATGTGTGTGTATCGGGGGAGGGAGGTGTGTGTGTGTGTGTAAGAGGCCTAGCACCCCATGTAAGAGGGGGGAGAATGGGGTGGGTGTGACAGGGAGGGAGGTGTGTGCGTGTGTGTATGTGTGTGTATGAGGTGGGGGGGTGTGCCTGCACCAGAGAGGTCATTGTGTGTTTGCACATGTGTAACAGGCAGGGGAGGACAGCATGCGTGTGACAGGGGCTGGCAAGGGGATTATGTGTGTGGGCATCACGGTGAAGAGACTGCATGTGCGTAACATCTTGTGCATGAGTGAGTGTGTGTGTGTGTGTGTGTGTGTGTGTGTGTGTGTGTGTGCAGGGGAGGACACTGTGGGCAGGGGTGTGACAGTGACGACAGAGGGTGTGCATGATCATGCCCTGTGGGGAGGTCTGGCACACAACAAGTCTGGCCATCACGTGAGTGTGCAAGGACAGCCCGGGAGCTTTTCACAGGGTGGAAGGGCACACGTGTGCCATGCAGGGCACAGGCGTGTGGCTCCCTCCACCCCACTATGCCTCAGCTCAGTCCTCAAGCAGCCAAGGCCACCGCCAGCCCTGACCTGGCCCCGGGCAGTGGACGCAGAGCCCCCAGCCTGGCACCAGGCCTCCGGCCCAGGCAGGTGGGGAAGGAGGTGGCAGAGGCGAGCGGGTGAAGGCAGCAGCCTGGCAAGCGTCCACGGTGTCCCCGCAGCAGGGCGGCAGCGGGTGCTCCATTGGGCACAGCTCAGGGGTGCTTCGTCCTCGGGTGCGAGGGAGGATGGGGGGGTGGGGGCTGGGGCTGGCGGTCCCCCGCGCTCATGGCGAGGTGCTGGCGGGAGTGTGGCTGTGGGAAGAGGTTGACAGCAGCTGGTTCTGGGAGGGCGCTGGGCTCACCCGCCCATGGGTGTTGCCCCCGCCGGCGCTGCCGGGGGCTCCGGGCACTGCTGGCCGGCGGGCGAACAGGACACCTGTGGGCAAACACACGGGTTATGGCAGGCCTGGCATGGCCCCGCGGCGCAGCCTCGGGTCCCCGACCAGGTAAGCCCTCTGCATGCCCTCCCCACCAGCCCTGTCCTACCCCCAGCTCGCCCCACCTGGGCCTGGTGCTTGGGGAAGGGGTGCGGGGCCGTGGGGCGGATGCAGGGGTTGTTTATCCAGCCTGACCTTTGCAGGGAGTTAAATATTTAACTGCTGTCAGAGCCAGTGTCAGGATTTAATTGGGACAGCTCAGCGGGGTGGGGAGGCGGCTGTGGGGGGCCGCGGGGTGACCCACTTAGCCCAGATGGGAAACACGCATGCACACACCACACGCTTGCACACAAACATACACACACATATATGCACATGCATGCACGCACACACTGGTAAGCACACACATGCCTACACATGCGCGCGCACACACATATGCCCTTAGACATGCATGCATGTACACAGGTACATACATATGTACACACACATGCACATGTGCACAAATGCATATGCATACACACAGCCATATGTGCATACATATGTACACACAGCAGCATGCATGCACACACAAACATGCAGGCATGCAAGTACACATTAGCATGCACGCACACAGAAACATGCATGCACACACAGTATGTGTGCACACATGAATAAGTATGTGCACACACAAAGCATGCATGCACACACATGCACAAGCACACATATGCACAAGCAAGCATGCATGCACACACATGCATCCATGTGCACACACATGCACATACACAGGGATCGAACCTATGTGCAGATTGCTCCCCTCCCTCTGCCTCCCCTGGGCTCACTCACCTCCCCCGACGGCCACAGACCCCAGCCCAAGTGCTCACCCACCACCCACTGTGGGGCCCACGGGCCCAGCTCACATCACTGGCAGGGGCCCTTGGGCTAGCTCAGGCTCTGGGCTGGGCACACACTGCAGCTTTGCCAGCCCAGAGCAGGCCAAGCCCCTGGAACCCGGAGCCACGGTGCAAAAAGCCGTGGCAGCCGAGCATGGCGGCTCCCTGTGCAGCCCCAGGGTAGCACGCTTGGGTTCGTGCCCCCTCCCCAATGCTCAGCAACCGCTGGGGTCTCCAGAGCCCCCCCAGGGAGAGGCACTGGCACTGCCCAGCTCAGCTCAGCCCACCCCACCCAGGACCAGTCCAGGACTGGTACCCCCTGCTGCTGGCTGAGACAGTGCCTTGGCAGCACCGCCGTCCCCAAAAAGAGGGAAGGGAGGGGCAGAGAAGACACCCCCACCTGCCCGTCCACCCGCCCCGGCTCCCAGGAGCA